AAGAAAATTACATCTTACTTGTTTATAAACTAAACATTCGACTTATTATAAATTGAATTATAAAAGAAACACTATTATCTTTGAATCTTTCTGGTCTCATTCTAGCTGACCAACAAAATGAACATACGTTACCTATCTTTAGATAACTTAGTAAACTCTCTCAACTTTAAGTTATTTAATACATCAACTCTCTCACCTAACTCTATTACGTGTACTCTCGTAACAGAACCTAAAATCATATTAAAATGATAACAATATAGATCATTTATTTAGATTACACTAGATAATCTATATTTATACTGAATCACAAGACAAGTGATCAAGCAAGCAAATAAACAAGCAAACAAGTGAGCAAATAAGTGAGCAAGCAAGTGAGCAAGCAAGTAAGTGAATAAGCAGTTTTCTTATAAATATCATTGATAGTTTTAATTTAATAATTTTATATAAAAAAAGTATGTATTTTAGCTTAGAAAATTCAGTTAATAAGTCAAAAATCAGTTAATTAATAAGTCAATTAGTTAATTAATTAAGTTCTAAATATTATTAATTCAAAAATAAACTTTTTTGATAATAATATTTTTTTTGAAAGTAACACATTTAGAATATTTAAATATTCCTTTTATTATTTCATTATTTAAGTTTTAAAAGTTTTATTTTAGTTTTGTTATAATCTCTTACATATTTGTAATATTATATTTATAATCTCTTTCATGTTTGTAATATTATATTGATAACCTCTTACATATTTATAATGTCATATTTATAGTTTGATCTCTCATACATTATAATATTATATTATTGAAATGATTTAATAAATTGAATTTATAATATTTTACTTATCTATAAATCATTGTTATAATTATCTTATTAAATACATTTTGAATTATAAGAAGATTTCTTAAGTCACTTTTTAGTTAACTAGTAAATTAATAAATACACGTTATCACCTTTAGTTATTTATCTTATCTCTCCCATCTGACTTGAAACATGTGTTGAATATGTAAAAAGATATAATATATTTGAAATCCAAGTAAAACAGTGATAATACAATAATAATAACTTCATAATTAAAATAAGAAGTTATATCAAAAACTATTTAAAGGATTATTAAAAGGAATAGAAATAAAATTATTAACTTATCTAAAATTACTTGTCTTCTAGCTAAAATATATGGAACAGACTGCAACAAAATCAGACAAAGTGAATATTTGATCATGTGAGTCAAAAGAGATTGATGTGGTTGAAAAATAAACTAATTTAGCTGGTAATATTTTGGTAAGACTCATGCACATTCCAAAATGTATTTTTAAACTATATAAAAGACTGTACATGATTTTTTTTAATTATAAGCAAAATATTTGCACTATTAAAAAAAACTTTGTCCAATAATAATAAAAATAATTTGTTATTAGCTAAATTTTGAGATCTCTAAAAATATTCTAATATTTTCATGTTGCTTTATAGATATCTGAAACTGCAACAACATTGACTGCTAGCTCTAGCATAATTATGATTACAATGATATTTCTCAAAACAAACCAAAAGAAATACCAGTTCAAAAATAATTACATAGACATATTCAAGTATTAGAAGATTACTAGTGTGATCTTGCTCAAACTAACAAATGAAAAGCTTGAAATATGAAGAGTTTCAGGTGATCTAACAGCAGTGATTACAAAATTAGTTGAAAAGCTCAAAAAGAACAAAGAGCTTATTAATTATGATAAGTAAGAAACAATTGATTAAAAAGACAGAAAAGGCTAGCTAGAGTTTAGCAGGAAAGCAGGAAGACAAAGAAGAAAATGGGATCTTGTAATAAGGATAGGGCTGGAATCAGGATTAACTTCTGATAAATTTAGATTTCTTTCAGTTATTTCAATAAATATTTGGCAAACATTCTATTACAAATTCATTTTATATCCCCAAGCATTTGTGCAGAATATTCTTTTACCACCAGTATATAGCTATCTGGTCTTTAGTTTCTGGACTTGATTTCATGCAACTCCTCTTTATTTGGTTCTGTTCATTTGTTGATCTTATTATTTATTTATTGTTACTTGCCCATCACTCTCTTTTAAATGGCTGACAGTTGAAGATAGTTAACTATTTTCTGTTAGCTTGCTTGTAGATCACATGGCAACCAACCACAACAGCATTGTCATTATAAAACTTGCTTATATAAGACGGGTAAACTTTTCTTTCTATGTGAAGGATTATTTGCAGACAGACATTTCCATTGTTTTGGAAATCCTGCATTCATGCTCCTTGGTCAAGTCATGCATCAGTTTTGATCACGAGAGAAGAGCGAGTTGGTGCTGAAAGCATGGAATTCAAGCGTCTGCGACTTGGAAGTGATCATCAGGTTCTTTCACAGAAGTTATGTTGATTACTTATTCTCAAGCAAGATTTGGCTTCGGAAAAACTGTAACAAGAGTTAGATTCAGAACAATGTGAAGGTAACTTAAAAAAAGAAGCATAGGGAAAACAAGTTTAGAACGTGCACGGCCCCTTGTTTATTTGCAGCAACATTTTGGTCTCACAGCCGTTATTTGTTAATATTAAGCTCTATGTCGCGATCACATGATGGATTGATTCCACGCATTCTTGACGTAATTGTCATATGATCGATTATCGATTAAATACGCAGGCACACCCACCTTAACCAAAAAAAGAAAAAACGCGCAAAGCTTCATTCAAACAACCTGAATCTTAAAATGTCTGAAGTTGTGGATGATCTCGACTGGTTCCAAGGCCGCTCTCGTAAGTTTAAGTACAGTAGTTTAAAGTACAAATCAATGGCCTCTTTTCAGCTTCTAATATGTCCTCTTCTAGTCCTTGTTTCTTACATAAAGGAACGGAAAACTGGGTGGTCATTATACGAATTCCTAACCACTCACCGCGACACGATTATCAAGTCACCACCGTTTTCAGAAAAATGGGAAGGGCTCGAGACAGCCTGGATCACACGTTTTTTGAGAACCGCTAAAGAAAATTTACCAAAAAATAGTTATAACGCTCTTGTCAAAAGGGTTGTATATATGTTTAACTTCTGTTTAAGCAAAAAGGGGGCTCTTGTCGGTGGTCGGTCGACAAAGAGTATTCGGCTGTCGTGCCGACCCAAGTAACGATTGTTGCGCTCCTGGTCGGTGGTCGGTCGATCTAGGAGTATTCGGTTGTCGTGTCGGGCGCCATCGTTGCGATTTGCTTGTTGTTTACTTAATCTTTTGATTAATTTTCATTACTAATTTCATCGTGTTACTAACAAAATTATATACACTGTAGACAAAGTCCGCTTGCGCGAATAAGGGTTTAAAGTTCTATTGGGACGGAATTCTTCGTGAACGCAAACAAGTAAGTCGATCTTCATATGCTTTTTGTTAATCAGATCAGCACTAATTCATTATGTAAATAGCTATCAGTCGAGGATATACATATTACTGGAAGCCTTGATCTGCTAGGAAAAGTAGGCAAATATAATGTACGGAGGATGGGATCCAAATATGCGGAAGAGCCCGCCAATGAGGTATCCTATCACTTGTCATAATTGTCCTGAATTATGGGTTATATGTTTTGAGCGAGCATTGTATTGCGTGCTTTGTATTTAAAAGATCTTATCTAATAAATAGGTCGCGCTGTCCTTGTCAGATGAAAATGATTTGTACCATACTCCAGAACCTAGAAACCAAGGAGTTTCTGGTCATGCATCGGAATCTGATGATCCTTTCGTCATTAAGGTATAGTTATCATTTTATTTATCAGCCAGTACAACTTTGGCTTAGCTTCCTAACAGATTTGTTTATATTGAATGGAGAAGATCGCTGATGATACACTGGATACGTTGCCTGAAATGAATGCCGAGGTATATTTTGATGTCACTGTATCCCGACACACATCTCTGTATTTTACTTCCTTACTTACATCTCTCCCATAGATTCCTTCTGCAGACTTCTCATCATCTCGAAAAACTAGAAAACGCCCGCATGATGATATAGACCCTTCAAAGTCCCCACCACTACCTGACTATTTCCACACCGAATATAGCACGACTATTGCCGAAATCAGTTCACTGGGAAGCCAAGTTGCTCTTACCAAGTTTGTACCTATATCATCCAGGTTTTTCACTCCACAAAGATTCCATCTAATTCGAGTAGTCCTCTCTATTGGGGTATTGTGGACCTTAGAGAAGAAAATGTCGCTCCCCTTCGGAATAACCCACGAGCAAAAGATCATCTTTCTGATAACGAAGTACAACGGCTTCGAGGGTGTGCATCTTCCATTGTCAAGGAGGAGTATCGCATGGGCAATTCAGTTCAGGCATTGTTCAACTCGCTTGCACTGTCCAACGTCCTAAGCATACACAGAATTGCAACCGAGAAACGTGCAAGAGGAGTCTCTGGTGTCCTGGAACTCCTTGTTAGCAATGAGGATAAGGATCCAGACCATTTGAGGAACTTCCTCAAGGACATTGACATTCATGACAGGGATACTCAATATGTCCTGCAATGTCTAGACGATATGTACGTTTTTCCGTGGTTTTTAAGTCACCTGTCAACATTGTATTACTAAAATTTCCCCTCCATGATCAAATGTCATTTAGGGATGCCTGGATTTGCGATTATGGTGGAAAGAGCTGTTCCGAGCGCACCATCGACATGCATCTCATCGGTCCGTTCTCACGTGCGCCGGGTGCATATTTTATTTAGTAAGGATTACTCTTTCTATTTCTATTCTCCCTTCACTTGGTATCTAACGATTCTTTGCTTCATGAGTGGTGAAAACCATTCTGAGGCTGACCGCGATGAGAAAACTTCGCGATCAACCACATCGCGAACTGGCAAGCCCTGCGATTTTATATTTTTGGTAAGCTGAGTATGTGAGAGTACGTGATTCAAAATATGATGTGAACCAATGACAACATTTTAGAATGAGGGTCGCGAAACCGGCATTGGTGAGAATACTGGACCCGCCCACAAGGACCATTATGACAAAAGCATCAAACTTTTCGTAGAGGTCAACAAGGTTGCCAAGGCACAACACATCAGCTTAATAAATACCTGCATGGAAGAGTGTGGGAAGAATCCTCTTCCTTCAAGCATCGATGAATCTATTAAGAAAGTGGCCATTCCATTTTTTCAAATAATTGGATCCAAAATTCGCTTTTATATTTTGCTACAAATCGATGGTGACTTGTATGGTGTATGGGAGTGGGCTATGCACAACATAACAGCCAAAGATTCAGACATAGTGCCAACCATGTTTTTATCCAAAAAATTTCTGGTGCATCGTGTAAGTGTTCTCTTTTTTAATGCTTCATCTAATTTCTTTACACACATTAACAGATGAATCTTTTTAGAATTTGCTGAATCGAGCAGGGCAACAAAGCATGCTTGCCATTAAAAAGGCACAACTTTTTAGAGAAAGAACACAAGCAGGAGAGAGCGACGCAGCTGAAGAACCTTTCAGGAAGGCTTTAAAACTTAATTTGCAAGAAACTCCAAAGACGAAAAAAAAGTATTTATAGTGCTGGATGGCTTTGAGTTTATGCAATTATTAATGATTTTCTGTTACAGCCACTCTAGGGAGCAAAGACAATCATCACCTTCGTCACCAACACCGAGCCGTGAACCCGAAGATGATAATCTCTTTTTGTGAGCAACCGAGAGCTAAAAAGAGTTTGATATTCGTGCATCAATTCAAGTGGAAATATGTTGTTGTATATACTTGTAATAATGCAACATGTGGAATAAAGAGACAATTTTCTATCTGCCTTCTTAGTCAAGAACGTAATGACTTGGTCTGCAAGTATTATTTGATACTATGAATCTTCCTGTCCATGTGACTATTAGTCACAACTTCATGTGATCTGATTGATATATAACATACAGAGGCCTCCCAGAATATTGTGGACACTTTTTAAAATGCAATAATGCAAAAACTAATAAAAAAGCAAGATTTA